ACTATTCATTGTTCCTAGCGATGCCTTTATTATAGAGAGTTGCTGTTTCATAATGCTAGTCATGTCTTCGGTTTCTTCCTCAAAATGCTTAATCTGCTCATTGTAATAATCAGCATCATCCGAATCTAGGGTTCCAAATAATATCTTACTAATTTCTCCCACAAAATTTAGGGCTCCCCTGCGTCTGCGGATGTGTCCCGAATTTCCAATTAATTCGTGCAACAGTTTTTCAGTCCCCTTTACCTGCTTAAGTCTATCATTAGACAATGAAGAAAAATGATTACAGTCTGTCCAATTTTGAACTTCAGTAGCTTGGCATAATTTATTTATATAACTGATATACTGGCCTAACTGCTCCGTCTCACTGTCCGTTTGCCTTAGGTTGACGTACACTACAGTTTTAAACTCTGTGTTATATAACGTGGCCTCTCCTAAGAGTTCGATATACAGTCCTGGAGAGTCATCATATCTATCTACAGAATATCCCAGTCCCTCAGCTGTTGACTTCATCTCACATCTTGGAAGATAAAGCGTGATCCACACTGTGAATAGCCATAATCGCCATGGAACCATCTGTAAAGAAATTTTGCTCTAAGTTCACGGCAATCCAAGAAGTTTTCTTTTTCTTTCTCAATAAAATGGTTTTAATCGGTTCATATGAACCTTCTGAGTTCGTTTTCCTTTCTTAATGGTGGCATTTACTCTGTCTAACCCGATTATTTCATAGGGTCCTAACCACTGGGCGCTAAGTTTTTTTGACCTCCCTCTGCGTACGGTTTCATCGTACAGGAGAACCTTATCTCCTACCCTAAATGTAGCCTCTTTTGTGGTTTTGTCATAATATTCCTTGCTCTTTTCTTTATGACCTATCAACCTTTCCCTGGCTATGCTATGGGCTGTTTGTAGCCTGCCCTTCAGTTCAACTAAAAAATTGTCATAATTATATTGGACACTAGGGTTCTCTTTAGTGCTGATGGCATGGTTGATTTAAAACCATATACAAGCTCAAACGGCGTGTAACCTGTGGATGTGTGTACAGACGTGTTGTACACGTACACTGCATAGGGTACCCATACATCCCAGTTACTCTGATCCTCATCTATATAGTGTCGTAAATACTCCTTCAGAATTCTGTGACTTCTTTCCAAACCTCCAATACTTTCGGGGTGGAAAGGGGTAGTTTGCAACTTTTTTTATCTTTAACATCTTGCAGGTATTCTTGAATGCCTCACTTAGGAAGTTTGACCCTTGGTCTGTCAAAATTTTGCTAGGCGTTCCTAATTTCAAAACAACCTGCGTTACAAACTCCTGTGCTACTGTTTCAGCATCTTGCCTTTGTATCGGTATAGCTACCAGAAACTTACTTAACTCATCTTGAAAAGTTAATATGTATTTATTCCCTGTCTGTGTTTCAGGCAAGGGTCCCACTAGGTCCAAACAACATTTTTCAAAAGGTTGGTTGGCAGTGGTGGTAATTTCCATGGGAACTTTTCTCTGAGGACCTAACACTTTATTTATTTGGCAACTTTTACATTTTCTAACATAGTCTTCAATCTCCTGCTTCATATTTGGCCATGAATACATGCTCTTTATCGCACTGTAGGTTTTGTTCATACCTCGATGTCCCCCTAATGGTGCATCATGATACTCATACAAAATTTGCCTTTTTAGTTCCTCATTTATATCTGACTGTGAATGCCCTTCATTTTCTACAACAATTCCATTTATCCTACTCAACGCGTCAGCATTTGTGTTTGATGTCCCCTTTTTGTATATAATCTCGTAATCATATTCTTCCAATTTTATTCTCCATCGTAATAGCCTTGAACCTGGATCCTTTATGTTCATTATCCATGTGAGAGGTTTGTGGTCAGTCGCAACCTTGAATTTCCTCCCGTATAGATACGGTCTGAAATGTTTTATTCCCCAAACTATTGCCAAAAGTTCCTTCTCACTGGTTGAATAATTTTTTTCTGCTTTATTCAGATTCC